AACTGAACAATCGAGCGGTAGTCAATAGAGCATATGAAATGGGTCGAGCACCAACTGTCGTCATTGCTACGGATACAATAAAAGCCAAGAAACACATTGATCTTCCTGATCTGACAAAGCGTCTTCTCGCTTTGCCTGACAACAAAACAGAACATTTACCCGGCTATCTACCTCTCGTACCAGGCATGCCAGTGTTGTTACAAGAAAATATTGCTTGTGAACTTGGTCTCTCGAACGGTACACAAGGTATCTTCCGTGAGTTAATTTATGATCATTCGTCAGAACTTACTACCGGTTCTGATGAAGAACGTTTTACGGCTGATACTGCCTTTGTGCGCAATGCTCAATATGCATTGGTAGAAATACCCAAGTCCAAATTGAAAAATCTAGATTCGCTCGATCCATTTATCATTCCTATTCCTGTGATCGAGAAAACATTCGAAATCAATCTCGAGAAATTGTATGCTGACAAGGGAGTAATTATGAAAATGTTCAAAGATAAAAAACTTAAGGCTACTATTTCTGTGAAGAGAAAAGCATTGCCACTTATACCGGCCTACTCTATTACTACTCATAAGAGTCAAGGTCAGACGCTGCCAAAAATAGTTATCGATTTGAATATGCCACCGGGAATGTTAGAAGTGGCATCGGCTTATGTACCACTATCACGAGTAGAACAACTTACAGATCTCGTTATTTTACAAGACTTCAACATCAGTGCTTTGCAAGTAAAACCATCTAAAGGACAAATCGCTGAGCTTAACAGACTAGCTGTACTTTTTCAACAAACAAAGCAACGTTATGGTCAATACTTCCTGTGACATGTTGTGAGACAAGTTTAGAATTTTTCTACAATCACAACAACCGAATAATTCAATCATTTGCTCTGGTCATATATCGCCACGACGAAATCTTTTATTTATGCGATCGACTGATCGTTATTTTATCTTATCACCACTAACAATAATTTTCACAATGATTATGATAATCAATTAGCCAATAACTAAATAAGCGCACGCAATCCTTCAAAGACGACTTTTCGATCATTTTGCTTTTTTTTATTGATTGTACTATTTCGTAGTGATTTTTTATGTTTAATGTTTTGTGTAATCCTTACTATTGTATTCATTAAAAAAATTAAAAAACAATCGATAATATGTTTCCCTGTATAATTTGCTTGTTTATTTCAGATATTTGTAAAAAGCATTTCACTCTCTTCAATCAATCTTCTTGATTAACACGAACTAGCAACAAACGTCGTAAGTGCATTAATCATGAAATATAACATTACAATTATTCTTTCGGTCTTCACTCTGTTTCCTCTGCATGTTCTTACTCACTTTAATAATATTTTTTCAAAAAATGCTACGATTGCACATCCTGAAACAGATTTATTCCTTAGTTATGTCGGTTTGTACACACCATCTGAAGCAATCGTTCACAATTCAGCAATCTTTCCAATGACTACAGCTACATCCCACTTTCTACCTCTATCAGCTGCTCAGAACATTGCTGCTTGCAATATTACAACA